TTAGTTTTTGTTTTTTTTATTAGTTTTTTTTTTTCTAATCTTTTTTTATATATCATTTTTTTTTGTATTCGTCCATGACCACGACGCCATCTGCGATCGATTAACTTGTGGACAATGATCCCTCGCTCCCTTGCTCTGATCTCGCCTCCTTCTGGCCTGTTAAGTGGCCTGCCTCACACAGGGTGACTGGCTGTCCACATGATGTGGCCTGCCAACATGGCCACTCACACAGATCATAAATCAAAGCCCTTGATTGGTCTCTGTGTGTCATTCAAGCTCGGGATAACCTCAGCTCAGAGGCCTGTACTAAGAAGCTTGTTCAACCTAACCTGGATATGTTTGAGTTAGCCGGTTGGCCTAATCCAAAACATACGCGCTCTCGCTAAACTGTACTACGACGCGGGTTATCAAGTGGATCGCTCAAGCCAGCCCTAGTTAGGTGCGCGTTCACATGAAAGGGTTGGTATTTGGAGCATTCGACCAATCACAAACATGGAGAAGCATACTTCCTGAATGAAAAGTCAACTTTAATATTAGACAAATATAAAGAAGTTAAACTTTAAACATCCATGACTTAAACACTTTATCCAGGATAAAAGCCACATTAGCTGCACCTGCAAGGTGAATACAGCTGGAAAAAGTGTTTGAATGCGTACATTAACAGGTTTATGATATCACTGCCCCGTCTAAGACACGAGTGGATCTGACTTTAATTACATTTGTCTCGAGTGTTTCCTCAACTTAATGTGTCGCTTTAAAATAATACTTCTGCATACAGTATGTGACACTGTGAGTGTTGCACGGCCAGATACGGCTCAGCTGACTCAGATAAGGAAATATATGATACATTCTGATGTGATATGCCGCGGATTGTACTTAATGTTACTCTGATCCGGTTACTTACGTTGTGGCAGATATTTAAGTAAGCTTTCTTAACGCTAATGTTATAATAGTCAGATTGCTCTGAAGACGGGAGGTGATATTCTATTAATGTTCACGTTCACACAGTCGGTGATTTTTGCCGGCCGTCTTTCCTGCAACGGCAGCTTTTCTGTTTTTCCTTTCTCCTGTAATATGACTTGATCGCTTTAAACTCCGCACACTGAGCTCTGATTGGTCAGACTCAGCAGGCAGTGCTTTCACTGAGTTGAGCTCTTAGCCTGCAACCTAACCTGCTCCGGGGCAGGTTAGCCGCACAGCATAAGTTACCATGGAGATCTAGCCTGCTAAAAAGAGAACCAGCTTCGTAGGACCGGAAACCCCGAGTTTTCCCTGAAGTTAGCCCGCTAAGCGAAAATCCTGCTTCGTAGTATACCCCCCAGGTGAGGTAAAGGACTCTCTGAGTGTTTAGATAGTTAACTTAGTCTAAGTTCTCAGTGGGTCTCAAATGGTGTGGTCACCATTTATGTAAACACATATTTCCATTTGAGAGGGTAGTGTAGGGTAGTCTAATGGATAGTGAGGAAGGCTGTGAGTTCAAATCCCGGAACACCACCACTAGTGTGCCCTTGAGTAAGGCACTTAGCCCTTAATTACTCCAGGGAGAATGTCCCTGTAATTGGTCATTATAAGTAGCTTTGGATAAAAGCGTCAGCTAAATGTAATGTAATGTGATTAGTAAAATATGCATGAATAAATAAATAAAAAGTTAACTAGGTGAAAAAAGGTAAGATACACTTTTAAAACTTGTTGAGAGCTAAAACTAGTCTTTGCTGCTGCCTCAAAGAGGAGCAGGGAGGAGAGGAGAGAGACAGGAGAGGCTGGTTCAGGAGCACAGACACACTCACAACTATAAATGAACCAAAAATAAATTAATANTCATTCGTTGTAGTATTTTGATAGTATGATTTATTTTGTAATTAATGTTATTCAATCAAGCCTCAAACTGATGGCACTTGTCCCTATAGCCTGTTTTAAATTGAAGTTGTCTGAGGTCCTTACCATCAGCTTCTCTTGTAGTAATAATAGTGTACCTTAATGTCCCAAATGTGCACAATGTAGTGACTGCTTTTCGTCTTGTTGTTTACTTAGTTGTGTTTCCTGTATTTTATATGTCTGTGTTATGTGTAAAGGTTAAAGGTGGGGTAGGTACGTTTGAGAAACCGGCTCGAGATACACTTTTTGTTATATTCCATGGAATGCTCTTAACATCCCGATAGCAATGAATATCTTAAGTGCTTTGACAAAAAATCCATAAAAAAATGTCATCTGTGGAAGGCTCTGTAAGGAAGTGGCATATTTTTTCCGGTTGTGTATTTTAAAATTCTAGCTCACTCGAGCTGGTTTCTCCAAAATTACCTACCCCACCTTTGAATAAAAATAAAAAAACAAACAAACAAATTAATCTTTTTATTTTTTATATGTCAAATTCCTCCACGTACCACTAGCGGGAGCTGGCGTACCACCAGTGGTACGCGTACCACAGGTTGAGAACCACTGCTCTAGGTCAATTAAATGTCATGCTTGCGCATATGTTTGTTAGCTGAATGACGATAAAGGCAGCAAAGGGCTCGGCTTCATAATTACATGTTTACAAAATATACTTATACTAGTAAAAGCCATCTTATTTGCATATTCTTTCTCTAGTATTTACTTGCATTGCATTTGACATTGAAGTTATCCAAAAGTATCGGAATGTTCAGTTTATATTACTTTTATATTGTGATAGTTAGATTACATTTTTCACAGATAATTTCGAATGGAATACAGCTTTAAATTAACCCTCCCAAACAACCAAGTTTTAATGCAGCTAAAGAATTATCCTTTAATATCAGTGTGAACGCAGCCTCACAGTTGTGTGTTGGTTGTGCTGTGGTTAGTTTGTAGTTGTGTGCAGGTTAGCTGTTAGTTCTCAAGGCAGCTCTGTGTCTGATGATGTGTTTGCTGCTGACCTTTAAACAACTCTGTCCCATCATCCTTCTCTTACAGGGGCCTGCAGGGAGCACACACACACACACACACACACACACACACACACACACACACACACACACACACACACACACAAAAACAGTTATACAGATAGGAAAAGGATAGACGATACTGCAAATAACAAGCATGTAAATAGGTTTCTGCTGGCATTGGAATACAGACCGTATACGAGGGAGAATAAACACACAAACATACTAATATGAACACACACACTCACACAGAAGCATCACTGTCTGAGGTTTGGTGGTAATGAGGCCTGTCATCCTTCCACACTGCCTCCTCCCTCCCTCTTTCTCTTTCTTTCTTTCTTTTTTCATTGATCCACTAACAGATCCCCAATATAACAACTTGCAGTCACTGTGGGATCCTCCCCTCTTTCCTTTCCTCCTCCTCTTACCCCTACCCCTCCTCCTCCTCGACATGCATCCCTCCGGACCATTTAAAAACCTACCACCACTTTCTCTCCTCCTCCTCCTCCTCCTCCTCCTCCTTCTCTCTGTCTCTTTCTCTCCGTGTCTCTCTATCGCTTCCTATTTCTGTCTTTCGTCTACTCCAACGCTCTCCTCTTGCCCTCCGTCTCTGGCTCTCTGCTGGTTCAGACAGTCTTGTTAAATCGGCTGACAAACGGAGAGAGGGTTTTCCCTTTCGCAGCGTGCTTAGGAGAGGTGGTGGATGCTTAAGGTTGTAGTTTGTCCGTGTGTCTGTCTGTCTCACCCTGTGCTCCTGTAGAAAAATAAAAGACGGGAAATATAGAGCCAGCTGAGATGTTTCTAACAGGACAGAGAACCAGAACATGACATTTCTCTGAGTTTGTGCCACTGCTTAAATGCTAAAGGGGCCCTATTATGCTCTTTTTTTTTTTTAAAGGTTTCATAATTGTACTACCTCTTTTCCCCCTCTGTCTGAAACCAGAGCACAGTCTGCTCTGATTGGTTAGCTGTCCAGCTCTGGTGTGGTTGGTCAACCCTTTAAAGATGTCCTGCCTCTTAGCCTATCACATAAAATGTGTTGGATCGCTAGCCAATAAAATTGTGAATGTTACATAGTGATGTCACTATGTTACAGAAGTAAACAAAGGAGTCCAATGGAGGCGTTTCAGGCAGGGGGAGAGAGTGGGAGATAAACTCCCTCTGGATGGAACACAGGAATGTTAGCCTTTGCAGCCTTGACATGCACACAATATTACAGGAAAGGGAAAAAAAGATACAGAGGGGGGAAAAAAGATGCTGCAACACAGACAATATGAGAAAAAAGAACACTAAAACATGTAAACATTTCACAGGCATGCTAATATAATCCTGAAAATAAGCCTAAAAGGGCCCCTTTAAGGACTTTAAGGTCGCATTCACACCAGCCTTGTATAGTCCGGTTGAATCGAACCCTGGTGCGTTTAGCCGCTTGGTGCGGTTCGTTTGGGTCGGTGTGAAGCAGGTGTGAACACAGTCCGAGACCTCTTAAGTGAACTAAACAACCGGACTCTGGTCCGCTAAAATAGGTGGTCTCCGACCGCTTGCAAGTGAACTCTGGAGCGGTTCATTGATGGTGTGAACGCAGTCCGCACCAAAACACAGGAAGCGCAGTATTTACGAGTCACAAGAACGCAGATGTTTTCAAAAATCTTTAGCGAAAGAGTGAATCAGAGTGAAGAGTTGAACAGTGTCGTGTAAAGTAAAAATGCTCCGTCAACTACATAAAAGTAAGAGCCACCTGTCGTCGGTGAAACGCCCCTCCTTACTGCAGAACGTCTCTCATTATATGTGTTATAATGTTTTTTAACGCACGTCGTCTGATTGTATAATCATACTGTATGTTGCTGTCCACTAGATTCTGTTGATATGCTCCCCAGATTAAGAGCAGCATGAAAACAAACAATCCATTGCGGAGGCTACGGTAGAAATTGCCGGGATTTGCGTTTTTACACCCGTAATGTCTGACCAATTGTTGAACAGCATTTCCGAGCACATGACTTGTGTTTAAAGTTTATAGTCCGTTTGAGTTTTGCCCGTTTGAACGCAAACCGAACCTTCTGAAAAATGAAACAATGTAACAAACTGTGGTCTGGTGCGCACCAGAAAACGGACTATTAGGTGTGAATGCACCCTAAAACACCTAATAGTTTAGAACTGTGTAAGCGGTGTATGCTTCAGGCACATAATCAATCACAAAAGGATGACCTCAAACCCTCCCTCAGTTGTCCACAGACCCACATATGTGCAGAGACAGGTTTTCCTGGACCAACAGCTGCTCAGAGAGCCAGAGCTGGAGAGAGAAAGGGATGGATGTACAGAGGGAGAACCTGTCCACCATCAGGTGTACCCTTACCCAGAGCCAGTTAGTGTTGAGGAAGAACCTGAGGCGGAGACAGACACAGACGGGGAAATGGTGGAGCAGCTGGACGACCTTCGGCTGTCAGAAAGAGAAACGGATCATCAGATCAGCACCATGGCTGTCAACCTCAAAGTGAGCTGGGAGCTGCTGCAGCAGGCCAGCAGGAGCCTGGACACAGTGGAGCAACACATAGAGGAGGACCCACTGGACCAACTGCTCAGAGATGCTCCATCTGATATCCAAACAGACTCCTCCTCCAACTATTCAGGAGTCAGTTCGGCTGTTGGACCACCTTCAAAGAAGTACAGTGTGATACCTCAGGGAGGAGAGGATTGGGGGAAGAGCCTGGAGGCCCAGCTCCTGAGCAGAGAGTGGGAACTGCTGAGCCAGGAAGACCTGTCTTTATGGCTCAGTAACTACCCCCTTAAAGAGCATCAGGAAGAGGAGGGTGGGTCCTCAGACCACTACATGACAGTGGCTGCTGATCTCAGCACAGAGGAGCAGAGCCACTACATGTCAGCTGTGGACGGCAGCCTTCCCTATATCATTTCTGGGAACAAGCAGCAGGTACAACAACACTGTGTTTTTTACACTTTTTTGAACACATTTTTCTATGTTGAGTATATGTCACAACTTTGTGAGGTTCTTATTTTTATCAGCAACACTCATTTCCACTGTCAATGAACAGAGCACCACAGGAAACACATTTATTAATATCAATAAATTATAACAGAAATTAAAATTGTCCTTTTTAGATATAAGAGGTTAAAACTGATAACACATGCAATTGAAAATGTGTGACAAGGTAAAAGTATTGTAGATTTAGGCAAAGCAATTGATAACAGACTTAAAAAAGCAATGCCAGAATTCAGACCTTTGTTAGTACTTAGAATTGTTTGAGGAGTGTTGTACTTCATGTAGTAGGGGGTTTGTAATGGGCAAATCACACCATTAAGACCACGAGGCATAAATACAAAAACATGCAACGATAAATATAAAACCAAAATGGAATAGTTAAGATGCACATGTTGGGATTACGTGAATACATACAAGCTTAAGAGAATGCCCATCTTGGCGTATACCCAGTGTATACAACTGTTTATTACAATCAGCACATCAGCTGTGTATGTGGACCAAACTGTGAAAAACCTTTTGTTGCTTTGACTGAAATGCATTCAGTGACCTCAAATTCATTGTCTTTTATGCAAACATGATTTGTCCCCTCAAGACATCCAGTTCAGAAGAAGATGCAGATGTTACTGTGGAAGTGTGCAAGCCTGCACCTAGGGAGAGTCGCCTGCAGGATACTCACAACACTCGTAAGCTATTGATATTGTGAAAAATGGGAGAAAGATTTTTGCAAAGTGGCATAAATATTTACCAAGTTTCTCTGTTTCCCTCCTCAGACGATGAAAACAACTTTGAGAAAATAGACACTGATCCAGATGTCAGTGGAACACTGGCTCAATGTACACCCAAAACTAACATGTAAGAAGTAAGAACACTAACATGCTAGCTTTATATTGTAGGTGCATTGATGGCAAAGATACGTTACTCCACAGGGACAATATATGATACTTCAGAAATATATAATGTACATAATGTATTTGTGTAGGCGTATCAGTGCTCTCTTTCTCCAGACAAGCTGAAATGTCTTATCCTGGGCTTATTCTCTTAGAGCAAGGGTGCCCAATACGTCGATCGCACAGGCAGTGTGGGTAGATCGCATGGCATTAAAAAAAAAAAGTTAGCCTATCATCCATCCTGACTATGACATTTGCCACTTGATTGACGTACAGGTAAGCCAGTCTGAGATCTCATCTACTCTAACACGCAGTTAGAATACAATAGAATGGGAGGGATGAAACCCTCTTTAATGGTCACACATGCAGAGCACACAGCACACGCAGTGACATTTGTTCTCTGCATTTAACCCATGCTAGTACCAGGAGTCTAGTACTAGCATGCGCGGTCAACCATGCCAGCTGCAAATCACCGGCGAGCTGATTACCTTGAAAGCCTTCCAATTTATACCATTCTACTAAAGAAAGGGTATCAAATTGACGTAATGACCAAAAATGTACAGTACTTGTATTGTGCCATACGGGTTCATGCAGTTATGCAAGGTACACCAAAATAATGTAGGCTATACTCAGTGGGCCCTATATATATAAATAAGTATATGTTCAGCATTTTTTATGTAGGTAGACAGGCCCGCCCCTCCCCACATGCAGATCACGCACACTGCGTGGGGCCTCACATCGCGGAGGGAGCCTCATACCCCCCCCCACCCCTGTCGACGCTCGCAGCACAGAGGGCCTCATGACTTTACGTGGGGCCACAGATTGGGCCCTGTAGGTAGATCATTTGGACTTGGACATTTTAAAAGTAGCTCCCAAGCTGAAAAAGTGTGGTCACCCCTGTCTTAGACACACCTGAGTGGTTATGAGACATGACATATTTAGAACACGTCGGAAAAACTGTGACCCACAAACAAAACATTTGCTTTTCCATTTAAAGTCTCCCATCAGCACCGCTCCAACACATGCCTCGGATGATCCATGCTAACAAGTGAGCCCTGTTTAAAGAAACAATTGATGTTTAAATAGAAAATGTATTTTCAAAGCTAGTCATTTAAAGCACCCTCCTGATTTGTGTGGGAATTACTCTGGCAGAAATCATGTAATGATGTGATTTTTTCACATACAGACTCATATTGTAACTGCTCATGCACACATTGAACATGTATTGTTGGCCTCTGAGCCTAGTTTTGACCTGTTTAATAAATTAACAGACTTTAAATAATGTACATTAATAAATACTATATATTTGGTCGTAGCTAATTTATACTGTAAAGTGTTAGGTTATAAGGTCCATCCCACAGTAATGTTTCTCCTTAGAAGCTGATCTTTGTGTGTGTGTGTGTGTGTGTGTGTGTGTGTGTGTGTGTGTGTGTGTGTGTGTGTGTGTGTGTGTGTGTGTGCGTGTGCGTGTGCGTGTGCGGGTGTGTGTGCAGGGCTCAGTTAGACATGGCTCTGCTAGCTGAACTCTCCAGCATCAAAGCCTCTCCAGCTCCGGCTCAGGAGAAGCTCTGCAGTATCTCTGTCAGCGGACGCGGCCCCCCCTGTAACAGTACCCCACGTAGCCCAGGTAAAACCACACATAATGTTCTCTTTTATGAAAATACCTGTTTGTCACACAATTGGACTTAAGTGTTTTCATCATGAATGTTTGGGAAGTTCTCCCAAGTTTAAAGCTACTACTAATAACTGTGGAGGTGGAACTCTCTAACATTTTGAACCTGCGTGAGAAATGCAAAGCAAACTTAACACTGTGTGAGATCTACACTGCAGAGTGGTGGTGCAGTGATGATGATTTTTCTAATGCTGACCCAGAAGATTTGGAAATATTTCACAAAATAATATCTTTAGCATACAAACATTTATGATACTTACACATTTTGTTGAGCAAGGTAATCTCCACATATTAACCCCACTTTCAGATTTTTGAAGCGTAAATGTAATCTCCAGAAGCAAACAGCTAACATTAGGCTGTAAATGCATGACTGCTAAGCTAAAGGCTAGTCTCCTTAAAGCTTCGGACATTTATCAGTTGGGTCATTTCTGACGTATTTCATGTTGTAGAACAAAATGTGAAAATCTCTTAAGCTTGTATCAACTTCAGATCTCACAGGAATTGGTGAAACGCTGACTTAATTCTTGGTTTTAGGAGTAATTCCTGCACCACTATATGTAGATGGACAGGAGGGGGAATACAGCAAAGATCCTGTTTGGAGAACCAGGTTTCTCGCTGTGACATAAAAACTATAATAATAAACGGCAGAAGGGCAACTGTAACCTGGACTTGCATCTTATGTGCATTGATAGATATTTGATAAACATTTCAAATAAAATGTCCAGTACAGGAGAACATAAGTGACATGAGGTATTTCCCTGTTTTGACAGACGTACGCCGACGTGTGATGACAGGTTTCATTGAGGCCAATCTCCAAGACTCCCCTGTGTGCGACCCCCCCACCCCTGTGTATCAGCAGTCTGAGAGCTTCACCACACCAAGAGACACCTCAGTAAAGCTCACTCATTTCATTATCCTCACTCGTGAAGGACCCAAACAAACATAGTGTTAACGTGCCTCCTTTTAATTCACTCATTCGTACTTCACATTTGCATTTACGTGTCCATTTCTTTGCCCCCACCTTTCAAGGTAGACTCTGACAGCAGTCTCCAGGGCTTCTTCACCACATGCCAGGAGGAAGAGGTGTCAGAGACTGCCTCTACTGTGGAAGGAGAGGGAATGGTAGAACAGGAGGAAGGAGAGGGAGAAGAAGCTTCTGATCAGACGGAGGAGAGTCAGGAGGAAGTGGGTCCAACAGGTGTACCAGTGGAGGAAGAGGAGGAGGAGGGCAGGGCGGAGGAGGAGGAAATGGAGGAAGGATTACAGATGGTCAAGGAGTGCACTGAAGGAGAAGAAAACATGGAAGCGGAGGAAGGAAAAAGTAATGATGAAGAAGGTAGTGAGGAGGAAGAGCATGACTGTTGTGACCCACAGAGAGGTGAGGACCAACAGCAGCATGGATTCTGATGATCAGTCAGTATTCTGAAGCATTAAACATGAAGAATAAAAAAACAATGCTGCTCTAACTCCCAATCATACATTCATGTTAGTTAAATGACCATATTTTATACAAGTATCTCCTGAAATTTGGCAAAGTATTATTTTATAAGTATATACTAGGGATGCTCCGATCGCCAATTTTGGGGCCGATCGTCGGAATCAGTATCGGCCTATACCGATATACCGATCGCCGATCCGATCGAGTGGGCGGGGATCTTCCATTTAAAGTGATGTTTAAAACTCAGTTAATGGGGCTTCCACAAACAACAACCAACAAAATTATTACATTCAAATTAAGTACATTATTCAAGTTTACATTAACTTTGGAGAATAACACGGGATAGATGAGCGGAAGCTCTCTCTCCCTCTCTCCTGACAGTCTGTCAGTATCTCACGCAGCTCACTGATCCAGTAATGAGTGACCCGACAGTGAAGAATAAATATATTTATAACTAGTTTAGCTTGTTCCAGAGTTAGATCAAATAGCTAAGTGTGTTAGGTCTAACTCTTGAGTGTGTGGTTTTGCTCCCTCACCGGTCCTGTCACAGCGGGTGGAAGCTGCAGGAAATTTTCTGCTCACACACGTTGCATACCGCTATTTTACTGTCATTTTCGGACACCTTAAAATACTGCCAGACTGGTGAAGCCCTTTTGGCGAGCTTGTTTTGCCGCGCACAGAAAAGTGTCATGTATTTTACGTCATCATTTTACGTCATCCGATCGGCTCTCTCGATCGGTATTTTGAGAGCACCGATCGATCGGAGCATCCCTAGTAGTGTTTCTTATTGAAGTCACTTGAACACAATACAGCGCTTCCTACTTACTGTCATGCAGGGCCGGCCCTTGGCATAGGCAGTATAGGCGAATGCTAAGGGAGCATCAACCCATCGGGGGCGCCAAAAATTGGGGAGAAAAAAAGGGAAAAAAAGTTAGAAATAAAAAGAATTTTTTTTTTTAAATGTCATAACAAAACAATTTCCCGATTTTGGATCAACAAAGTACATCTTATTATCTTATACTAACATAACTACGCCTATATTGCGTACAGCGTCCATAAACTATGGCTTTATGGTTTTAGTGTGCAATTATAGGTTTACATTTTGTTTTAGTATTAATTTAAAATAAATCAAACTCCCAAAAAACGTATACAGCTTCTGTGTGCTTTTATTAACATTGGAATTTACTGTGTAAGCCGGCACGGGAGGGGGGGGGAGGGCTTTAGAGAGCTCTCTCCTGAAAGACTAAGCGGCTCTGATAACCTCAGCTCAGTGAGGTATGTGATCATTATAGTTATAAAAAAATAAGAGAATAAATGAAAAACAGGTATAAAATACTATATGACAGTAAAGAAAAGTTGTTATTAATAAACGAAAATACAGTTTAAAAGGGGAGTCATTTGTAAAATATCCATAAAGAAAAAGAAACAGTTCTGTTTCATCTGGGTGTTGAGAGATGTATCCATAGATCTCCTAATGTTCCTCTCAAAGTGTACCAGATTGATGCTTTTAACTTCAATATTAAGAAAAAATAATCTTCCCGGGGGAGCATGCCACTGGACCCCCCTAGGGGAGGTTAGGTCCACCCCCCACTTAAATCATGTTCAAATGGATAGGATACTAAATACATTTGCACACATCTTGTGTCCATATCTTTCTGTTTTGGTGGTCATGCGCCAGCTAAAATCTTGCCTAGGGCAGCAAATTGGTCAGGGCCTGCTGTCATGTATTCATTTGAGCAGATTTGATGGCGCATTGCAGTCACCTACTGGGTTTACTGGATTAACGCATAGGTTATAAATAAAGAAAATAAAAGAAATTATTGGAAAATTATTAGAAAATAATAAATATTTGAATAAATATATTAAATAAATTAGTGTATAATTTATCTGAAGTCTTCCCAAGCAAATAGGTTTTATTACTTTACTAAGCACCCCATGGTGAGTAGCAAACATCTAAAGTGATGTATCATTAACAGTAAAGTATAGCAGCGCAGTGGGGCTGCGGCTCCTTCACAGTAAAAGCCACATTGTGGTTTACCAGCTCTATGCTTTTAATGTGAAGCAGCAGCAGGAGGTCACATTAGAACTAGCTTAATATATCCGGCTGTGAGAGTTCGTACTTATTCTCATCAATTCAATCAAATGACTGTGACACAGTCCTGTGAATGTTGTGCAGGGGGGGGGGGTGGACTCCATCAGTAACAATGAATATGATATACAGACAGCTTTCTGGAAATACCTTGGGCTTCAAAAACTTTAATGGATCCTTATAATTAATTTACTTTGTTTTGAAATATCTGTTGACATGTGTTCTTTATCTTTTTTAAGTTCTTAAATATATCTTTTAATACATTTATCTATAACTAGTTTAACATTTACGGAAGAGGATTAGGGCCACATGAAAAAAATATTTGGGGGATGTGAAAACATTTTAAGATTTTTTTGAATTCTGACTTTAATCTCAGAATCGCACTGGTAACTTTCTCGAACAAAATAAATAAAAGTCAAAAATATATTTGTTTTAGTTCTGATTAAAAGGAAAAAATAAAATGTTCTGAGAGAAAAGTCAGAATTCTGAGATTAAAGTCAGAATTCTGACTTTTTTCTCCCAAAAAATATTTTTTTTAGTTCTGAGAAAAAAGTCAGAATTCTGAATTTAATCGCAGAACAAAAAATACATAAATGTTTCATGTAAAAACTAAACTTGAATTAAAATGTATTAAAAATATCAAAGGTATAATTTTATGTACCACCCCTCACCACTACCCAGATGTTAAAAGCTTTATGCATTTGGCTTTGTTTCCCAGCTGTGGGGTCAGAAGTGATGGAGGAGGATGAAGAAGAAGACATTGATGACAGGAAGGAAATTGCAGGCAATGTTGAAGAAGGAGGAGACAACGTGTTGATGAAGATCCGTAAGCAAACAGACATGACAATGAAGCAAATAATCCAATGTCTGGCCTTTAAAGTGGAACGGCAATGTGTGTTTACTGCCACTAACTCTAAAAGTCTTGGATGTATGTGTGTGTTCAGGTGAGCTCGCTGCTGACCCAGTGGCTGCCCCCCATCAGATAGAGCTCAGGGTGTCTCCAGGCTCACAGAGTCCCAGCGTCTTTGATGACACCAACAGGTGTGTGTTTTTAGACTTTTTTTGTCATTCATGTCATCTGCTTCACTTTTGACCTTAAAAATATAGAATTTCAGGATTTCAGACTTTGGGCGAGTCTTTGTAATGCAGCATGAGTGTGTGTGTTTGTGTGTTCTCTTTTCAGAGCCCATTCAACACTAGATGACGTGCTGCAGGGCTATTTAGAGGAGGGCACCACAAAGAGCCCAGTTGCAAGTAAAAGTGTCACCAAATTGTGAGTGTCACGTACAGACCGGCTGCACAATATTTGTAAATCTAAGAAATCACATTATGAAATAGTGTAATATTCAAACTGGAGGAAACAATACTTGTCAAAGGTTAAATGTGTTAAAATACCATTTGAATGAATGGGGAGATGAAGATATCCCGATGCATATTTGCGCGAAAAAAANTAACAAACTGTGGTCTGGTGCGCACCAGAAAACGGACTATTAGGTGTGAATGCACCCTAAAACACCTAATAGTTTAGAAGCATACACCGCTTACACAGTTCTAAACTATTAGGTGTTTTAGGGTGCATTCACACCTAATAGTCCGTTTTCTGGTGCGCACCAGACCACAGTTTGTTACATTGTTTCATTTTTCAGAAGGTTCGGTTTGCGTTCACACGGGCAAAACTCAAATGGACTATAAACTTTAAACACAAGTCATGTGCTCGGAAACGCTGTTCAACCATTGGTCAGACATTAAGGGGGTAAAAACGCCAATTCCGGCAATTCCTACCGGAGCCTCCACCATGGAGCATCGGCACTTTCGGCAGGTTATTCTTATGCTGCTGTTAATCTGGAGATCAACAGACAAGCGCCCCGAGACCACCTATTTTAGCGGACCGGAGTCCGGTTGTTTAGTTCACTTAAGAGGTCTTGGATTGTGTTCACACCGACCCAAATGAACCGCACCAAGCGGTTAAACGCACCAGGGTTCGATTCAACCGGACTATACAAGGCAGGTGTGAACGCACCCTTATTATATTTACACATGGATTGTGGATCTTCTCACACTAATCACAGTGAGGCAAATCTTTCTCCATAACATGGGAAGCCTTTAAGTTTGTGTTGTGCTCAGTACCGCTCTCTTCTGGTTCCCCAACGATGGTATGCCAGTTCGGGGTCTTGACCTCAGGCTCCAGATCTTCTTCTGCGTCCGCACTTAACTCTTCCTCCAGGGAAAACGTCTGTAGCAAACACACACAGAAAAGTGTATTATGCAAGATGACAATGTATTTGTTCCATGGTGCATGTATTATTTGCAACATTATAACTGAACATATTACAGGAATTGTGTTGACCAGGGGTGTTAAGTTGATCTTCCACACTTGTATGTCTGATTGTGTGCCTGTCTGTCTGTTATTCTTTACATTATAGTAGTGGTGGTCACACATGTCAGGGCATGTGCATGATATGTCTGTTTGAAATGGAATACCTGTATCTAACTGGGAATGTTGTTAATGGCATTGGAAGAAGTACTCAAAGCTTTTAATCTAAAGTGAAACTATTAGGCTTACTATTAATACCGCACATTAAAAGTGCAGTATATGGCCCTACATTCCTTTGATGTAAAAAAACACAAGAAGTAAGTAACAGTTAGAGTTGAGCATTTAGCTCTAAGTTCTTTGGGTGAACAATCAGTTAAAATTGCAACATAATTCAATATTTAGGATTTCACCATTACAATAAATAGAGCTGTTAGGACCCCTTTATGATGTTGCCTACCTTGCCTTACAGTTAAGTGAACCAGACTGTTTTTCACAGGTGTTTCTGACCCTAGTGGAATTGGGTTTGTAATGCAGCTACGTTATTGCAGTGTGGACAGGAGTCGTGTAAGAGCAGTTTTTGAGGAGTACAACAGGCCAAGAGATGGACCCGTTCCGAATGGGCACTGCTCCGGTACCTGGATGTCCTGTTGCAGAGTGCAGCTCAGACTATGCAGGCTGCAGGTGCGGTCCTGTGGGGGGGGCTGCAGGCCTGTCTGCACCACATCATAGTACGGCTGTGGAAGCATGCTATCTGCAGCCAGAACCCGTCCTGCATCTATCTCCTTCTTGATAGTGTCCAGGTCTGCTGTGCCCCATGGTTCACTGTCTGAAACAAAGCATAACACTTGGAGACGTTTTCCTTTTCAACAAACTGTCACATCATCTATATCTGAAAACTACAGGAGGTGCTTCCCTGCTGTTCATTTAGTCATCTTTATATCCAGATTCAAACGCTCAGATGTTATTAGGGACATTTCTTATTTGATAGAGAAAGGAAAAACAAAACAAAACATGGAGCTTACAAAGTTCAATTCTTTTCACGTAATCCTTTTTTGAGACCCCAACAAAAACCCTCTGAACCATAGAAAAAGCAACAACTTAGTGGTGAAGGAATGAGTTGTATAACCCGGAAATGAGTTAGCATTTTACTAATTCCAGTTCACAGATTTTTGGTTAGATGTCTGAAATCAAATCTGTGGTTAACACAAGCTTTAGAGATGTTTTGTTCTAAATCCGTCAGTAAATATCTCACTGGTGAATGTCTAAAGCTTCTATGCATCGTAAAAACAGAGGTTAATAACTAATGTTTAAATGAGAGAACTAAATGTTATCACGCCAAACATTAGCCACCTTTAGCTTAGCGCAGGTGATGCGCAGCCATGCAACTGTGATGTAGTTACTTTACCACCAAACATTAGTTTTTTACTTCTGGAGATTGCATTTAGGCTTTTAAAAACCTTTTTAAAGGGAGGTTTTTGGAGGGAGCCCTTGATGCTAAATTCCAGGTCAGCCTACAAAAATATGACACAACTGCACCGCTCTATTCCCTGACATACAATGTTTCGGTCTATAATGGGGTGCGAAGGATGTGAGAGCTACTTGTGTAGAGTTCCTGGATTAGAGCACACAGACTATAGATGTCCGCCTGCACTGTGCACGGTCGCTGCTTGATGACCTCTGGAGCCGCCCATCTGTAGAGACTGGGGGGCAGGACTATGTGCATGGGGGGTTTGACACATTTCCTTTGACTGCTGGAGAAATACACACAGAATATAATTACTACCTCTTAATACTATTCTTTTAGGAAATATTCCTCAGGTTTGCTGTTATCTGTCTCATTGAAAATGAAATCCAATTTCATCTACCCAGTTATTAATATGTACAGATGTACTGCATATACAACAGTTTAAACATTACGATATGTCATAATGTCATACTTCTTGTTCTTGGTTATACACTGAAAAACATGCAATGTGTATAAACAAACAAAGTTTGATTGTTTACAACAGACTATGCCTAGGTCTGCCTACCTTGGGACCATGAAGCCTAAACATGTTAGTTTGGCCACAGTGAGCTTTGTGAGGACCACAGAGTGTGAAGACAGGCTCCTCATCACCAGACCTGTCCTGTGGAGGAACTGCAGACCCTCGACCACCTGCAGCAGCACCGACAGCAGCCACCTCTCCTGCAGCACGGGAAACTCTGCACGCTGCGCACACCAAACACACGCATGCATGCACGCACACGCACACACACTTTTTAAGGATTTTTTAAATGCCATTTAGAATAATATCTTGACAAATAAAAAATGAAAATCCCTGCAGACAAGCATAAATGTTGTTGGTCCTGTTATCGTGGTATAGTGATCTGTTTGACTAAAGTATTTTGAAATTGCAATGTAAGAAAGGGTGTTAAAATCCTACTGCCTATGAAATGTATTTCAGACATCGTAAAACTAGCTAAGGCCTTATTTCTTTATTTTTAAATACAACGCTTTCAATAAAAAAATGTGGAAAGGTTGAAATGTGGGGAAACAAGCAAAGGATTTTCCTATATATTTTAGTTTTGTTTGGCATCATCCCACCCAGTATGATAGTCCACACAAATACACAGCATCCAATCACAAATCTAAATATAAAGAGCAAATCATACAAGTGGTCTTAACCAGTGTCTGAGTGTCTTTGTTACCCTGTTGTGCAGCAGGTTGTGCAGAGAGCCGATTTCTACTGGTTCAAACACCAAACTGGTTCTCATGAGGTCATCAGACAGACTCACTGCCATCAGCTGCAGCAGCTGAGGGTGGAACAGCTGGCTGACACACACATAAATAAAATGTTGGTTTCAAGTTAGTCATGAATGGAATGTTAGTTTGGGAGAGCTGATATTCTGCTAAATGTTTGCACAGTAAAGTCCAGCCCCCAGGAAGTGAATAAAGCAACACGTTGGTACTACAACTTCCATGTCAACCTGTGCCGTCATCTGGGCTAAAATAAAATGTTCCAGTGGACAAACATTAGGAAAGTAACGTCCGTTAATCATAGAATATCTTTTCGGTAGATTCACTTCTCAGTACAAACGCCGATGGGTGCCGGGCTGGTTAAGGATGGTTAAGGTTAGGCATCGGCCTCAAATAGTTAAGGTCAGGAAAGGCTGCCGGACAGCGAGCCTCACTATTTTACAAATCTAATGTCCAAGGTTTGCTTTTATAAAATCAAGTTCTTGCTGTGCTCCAGACTTTAGAAATCTGGTTATTAAATCATTAAAACTTCTGTGGCAGATTGCACATTTTTGTTAATTTAGAAAATGCCACGAACTAACAACCAAAAAATTACTTTCCCACATACATTACTTCCTGTCTGTCTCACCTGCAGTATTCCTGTTCTATGAGCAGCAGGTCCAGATATGCTGTGCGACTGTCCCTCAGTGTTTTTACTGTCACCCTCGAGCCCCTCCAGCTGTAAATGAAACAAACAAGAGCTCACAATTTGGTCAGTACAGTGATAGCTTATATCATAATAATAATAATATCATGCTGCTTATTAAATAGATTAAATAGATAATACATGTAAATCTTAATCATATTTCCTGCAGTGATGTAAATCAGTAAAGGGGTCTTAATGACTTGAGTTTGACTGATATATTCACTTGTTTTTTTCATTCGATTCCAAGGTACAATATTTAATATTACACTTTGTCTTATCTCATTCGCGGCAGTGGTTCAGTCTCCCGTTCGGACCAAATACACAGCGTGGACTGGTACATGGTGCCAGTTCACCTCCTGGGCCCTGCCGAGGTGCCTTGAGCAAGGCAGCGAACTACCAACTGCTCAGGGCAGTATATCAACTTGGTATGTGATGTGAGTGAAATTAATTGCCCCATTGGGGATCAATAAAGTATATCTTCTTCTTCATTTAATTTGTACAGTACGTATTCCTGTATTTTTGCACTGTTGGAGGGGCCTGATTTAAGTTTTGTATTGCCAACAAGCTTTAACTGTTGTGCATATGACAATAAAACCTTTGAATCCTTTGAATATATCTTCCAATCGTTATTTGATAAAAGGTCCTCTAGCCAGCAGGGGGTGCTGCATTTAACTCTTTCTGCATTTTTGTTTCTCTGCACCACGTGTGAATATTTCTCAACACACATGGAATTCTGATATTCTTCTATGGATCCAGCTAGGCGCATTCATGTTCTTACTTGGTCATTGAGGCCAAAGAGCCACAGGTGAAGGTCAGCACAGGTTCATCATCAGCCGGGGTCAGATCACTATCTCTGATCAGAGGAATAGATGCTGGCACAGCTAATGCCTGGCACTGCTTGTTGACACAAACCTAGACACAAGGAATACTCCAGTTGCTTTATAGTATCCATATGTCACAGCGGCTCCTCTAAACAGAGCCTGTCACAGGTGACATTGGGACAGAGGCAGGGCACAATCACAATCGTCAGCTAAAATGATTGTGACAGCCCTACTAGTGTTACTACCCAACATGTACTGTATACTGTATGAAGTGGTTACCTTTCCAAAGCCTAAACAGTAGGCTGACACACAGGAAGACCTGCTGTTTGTCCTCTTGTTTAACTGCATGTCACATCCACTAAAAGTAGAAAAAATACACCAACATATCAGCTTTATACACTAAACAAAAAACAACAGAACTGCAAAGTTATTTATATGTTCTAATGTTATTCTTTCATACAGTTTGCAAAAATAATTTAAGTAGATAAATTCATCCCAAAGTACACAATTTCTGAAGTGGAATACATAGGCCTGTCTGATTAAGACAATTGTTACACTCCCTGTCCATTTTTTGAATTACAGATTTTGCACTACAATGTATTTTTTAGGACCACTAAGAATTCCTTAGCCGAAAGGGGGGCTTCTATGATGTTTGCTTTCTTCAATAAATTGTCACGGTCTATTCAGGATTGATGTGAAACTACACTCATCTGCTTTCTATACAATTAAATAATGGCCTCTAAAATAAAGTTTTGATACAAAAAACTCCTCAAAGAGAGTAAAACACATTGAAAATGTAACAATATGATGTGGTACACATTTATGATCAACATGTTTTATTTTCTACAATACATTGTTTTTATGCGATCCAGGAGAGATACAGGGTGTAACATGATGGATGTGGATGATTTGGATGGGCTCCAGGAGAGCCTGGTCCGTTCTGGGCTCTGACTCAGCTGCTGCATGGAGGACATGCAACTCTCCAGGAAGTCCTGCATCTGAGCAGAAAAAAGCATTTTTAGTTTCGTGCCTTAGAGCAGGGGTTCCCAACCCCCCGGACCGTGGACCTGTGCCGCGAAATAGCTGTGAGTTAGTAATATTTGCAGAATTATAAATATATACAAATATTTTATCATCATGTTTTTTTCAAAAAGCGTTTAATTTTCGCACCTATACTAGTCATATTATTTAATCCAGTAGCCTAGTTAAACTTTCACCAGAAAACAGTTGAAAATGTTTTTTATGATGTTCCGAGGGATTCGGCGGCTCAGCATAAGGTCTCAGCCTCTCGTGGCCAGGGGTGTAGAGCTATTTGTTTAAGCACCGGGTTGGCAAAACAGGAGAGTCTGTGAACCAGTCTGCCTTGATCATGTCCGGGACTCTCACAGTATCTGCTGCACACAGCTGTTTTATAGAAGGAAAACCTCTTTCACTTCATGAAATGGCAGCATCAGGAGGCAGCGGGACGTGAAGTGCAGCGCCAGCGCGCCGAGAGCTGTGCCTTTTTACGCACCACCTTCACTGTGTTTACCTTCATCAGAACAGCTTAAGAGTGACTGCAAGCTGCTACGTGTTAACCACACACACACCTCTACACACAAACACACCTCTACACATATCGAACTGCCCGATTATCCCCCCTATTACTCGTTTTATGAAGGAGATGTCCGGTCACCAAGGCGCATGATGTGACGGAACGAACGACACTATCATAATATCTTCTGAAAACAAATGCCAGTGTCACACACACACCCACACACACACACACACACACACACACACACACACACCACACACACACACACACACCACACAACAACAAACACACACCACACCACACACACCAACACCCACACACCACACACACCACACACACCACAACACACACACACACACACACACACACACACACAACACACACACGCACACACGCACGACACACACGCCAACACCCTGGCGACCGCGACATCCTTCATAATGCGCCTTCGACTCGTTTTTCCAGCATTCTATCCGTAAATCCTACAAACAAACCAACGTTGATTTATCTGTTTCCCGTTTTGGTTAAAAAACTGATAACTTCGTTTTTTTGGTTTCCTTTTTCCCAAAAGCACCGTTCTCTCTTTTTTTTAAACATTGGTTAATATGTTTTGGATGCATATTGTTCTAGATTTGATTCAGGCTGTACATTTTACATAGTCTCTGTTGCTACCTGCTGGTGAGTAAAATATCTAAAATCAGTTAAAATTGACAACCGGTCGCAATTTTGTATGTGTCTGCCGGTGCCTTCGGCACCAATAAAGGTTGGGAACCCCTGCCTTAGACGAAAACGATTCCATTTGATAGGGATACTTGAGCGTCCATTGATGCATACTGTACTAGAGCCTTTTTCAGTCAGGGGTGTGCCCGATAAAAGGCACGAGTTCAATTAGGGCTGTATTCACACATGGCCTTTCTGACGCGCAAGCGTTCTTTTTGAAAATTGTTCCGATGAGGGTGCAACCACCTTGAGGACAAAGTGCTGCACCCCGGCTTCTTTTTCTGAGCGCTTCAACGTTTTCGTGAAGGCCGCACTTATGCTTCAGAAAAACACTGATGATGTTTAAGGCTTAATTTCCCCGAGTAGCTGGCCGAGCTGACCCTGAACTGTGCTGCTGGTGAGTTTTGTACTTTCATCTACGTGAGCGTATCCATCCTCCTCACTGTATACAGGTTGTCAGCTGACCAGTGAAGTTATTATACAAAGTGTGAGATGAAGCATGTGTTCTGGTTGATGAAGAGGGACGTTGTGGGCCACATATGTAGCCATTTCTGTGTTTGGTACGATACATGTTTTTTAGGTCACTATAGGTGGTGGCGTGTCATTGGATTTGTGTGGGACGTTTGTGCTTATATCCGGTTGCTTTTACCTGCGCACTTGGTAATAGATGGGGGTGGGGGAGTGAGCTACGAGAAGGACAATTTTTGTTGATCCGCACGCACGAATATCAAGGGATTTCGCTTATGGATATGGATATTGCATTTTTTGCTTTGAAATAAAAGGTCAAACGCGAACTTTTGGAAAGACTGAGTTTTTGCTGTCCCAGGTGTTTTTATTCTCTTGTTTAGTCCCTCGCGGCACTGCTTAAATTACTGCCACAATTTAGTCAACAAACAGGACTTGTACCACAGCGTGGATCTACGGAAATCAAGGATATATACGGAGATGTCCGTAGGATTGATGGTGCGCGTGTGGAATTAAAAGCAGAACATTGACTACGCCGTGTTCTGACCGCTGTTATTGGAGAGCGGCTTAAGAAACTTCAGCGTATGCGGGAGGATAAAGACTGACGGCATTCCACACGCATCAGGATGGCGAGCGGTATGTGAACTTTTCATTCATGCTGGTGTGAAATGTTTGTTAGAAATCAGTGGTGAATAATACTGCTGACGATGTCCCATTGGGACTTATTGCTTTGCGTGTGTATGGTTTGTGCGGCTAGAGGTTGTTTATTGTCGGCGGCTGTGATTATTGAGCGTTTGGCTGTGTGGATTCGTAGCTTTTTTTGGTACATTCATTAAAACATTAAAGGAGATGTTAATAGTGGATCAACTTCAGATGGTCAATGTGGCAAAAATGGATGAACAAAAGAGGAGTTGCTACTCACTGCCAAGGCTATGGCAAATAAAATGGGAAAGCTCCAAAAAGGAACGTTCAATCAAAGGTTCACAAATGAAAAGTCTGTGATTAAAACACATGAAGGATCTCATGGCAAAGGATGACAACGCCTTCACAAATACAACCCAACTGGAACATTTGAATTCAACTTGTTAAGAGGACCACCCCTGTGTTACACAAGTTCTGTAATTCCTCTTCTTCCTGCGGACGAACAGGAAAAAACGACTGTATTTGTTTCCCTCAATTGAGATATCTGATGAACCACCCAACAAAGTATGTCTTCATGTTTTCAAAACAATCTGTGAAAATGTTGAAACTTCTGAAGCACAAGAGGAAATAAAACCAAGCGACAGTGTTTCAGACAACATGAGGAAGCATTGGTCTTGCAAGTGGAGCTCTGCTGGAACCAGGGTCCAGTTGTTTCAACTACATCATCATGCATCCAGCTGAGGCTGCCATGCCGCGGTCTCATGGCACGACAAGCGTGTTATTAAAAGACAAGCAATGCATTTGGATGAACAAGAGGAAGAGCTCAGGAAAAAGAAGAACAGCTCAGGAAAAAGAGGGAGCATTAGAATGGAAGTTGGAAAAAGCCGCCATCAATTGGCTATAATGAATGTGCTAAGACGCTCGGAAAGGTCTCATGCGCAAGTAACAACATCCTCCAATGGCATGCATTCTTTATTGGAAAGGGACGAAAGGAAGCCACACTCAGTGCTCGGGAGGCAAAAAACATTTGATGCTGACACAAACAGGCTACAGGTGGCCAGTCTGACGTACAGTTTTCGCACAGAGAACATGAGTAGAGATATGGACATCTTGCAACATCAAGCCACAAGAAGCTCAGAGGCCAGTATACTTTCAAGTTCATCACAATCACATCCACCGTTAACAGTCACCAAAGCATCTCCCAGCAGCACTGGCACCAGCAGCAGTGCCTCAGATCCTTTAATTAATGTCTTGGAAAGGCAAAATGAAATCCTCCATGTTGGTTCAGCACAGTCTCTTTCTTTTCTGCTAAGAGACATTCTGATTTTGATGGTTCTCCGTTTCAATTATTCAAGCATTCATAAGAGCTTTGGAGCACAGCATTGAGGAGAGACTCACAACCCTAAAGACTGCCTGTATTTTCTCGACGTATCAGCCAGGGGGCAGCCTTTGTCAGAAGCTGTCAGCTATGGCCCATGACGAGGATATCCAAGGCAAAGGCTTTTTGCTACAGGAGGCTTTTGTACATGCACAGGAAAATGTTCGGCCTACATGAAATAAGGCTCTTTCTTTGCAGCCATAAAGAGTAGAAGATGTGCGAGCTCTCAAGCTTACGGGGTCTCTTTCTGAGAGGATGCTGCAACGTCATGGGAAGAGTGAATACATGTGTGGAGTTGACCATGCCAGCAATATGCTAGCATCATCAAAAAGTAGTTGCCCTACAAATATAGGGGACAAATGGAGAACCTGGGCCTAGACTTACGGAAAGCAGGGCGGAGAGCTACATTCATGGATATTGTTCAACTTCATTGAAAAGACAGGTGGATATTGTGAGCAATCCACTGTTTGATGATATCACAGGATACTCCACCGCAGCAACAAGATGTGAGGAAAGCTAAGTTTGAACCTCGTTCAGGATGAGGGGAAGCAGCTTTGCTCATACCAATTACGACAGCGGAACAGAAAGGGAACCCTGAATAAGAATGAAGGAGAGAGGCTCACAGGTACAACGTGTTTGCCTGTTTTGTGGCGGTGTGGACATTACTTGGATCTGTGTTTATCAACTGGAAAGAAAGGCTCTAGTGAGAAAATCGCTTTCTATATG